ATATAACTCTGATGTATTCTCTTTCGCGACTGCAAGCAAAATCTGACATAAAACTGATACGGTTGGCCATTGTGCGCGAAATGAAAAGAGCCTGTTAAGATAATTTTAGTTCGTCTTAACGAAATTGCGCGATATAAGACACACGTATAAAGCGAATACATTACATATCATTTCTTAAAATATTCACGAACCATTGCAATTTTGCCATCGAAATTTATCCTACAGAAATAAAAGGTACCCATTAAAGAGAAATGAGAAAAATAAAATATTTATATAGCGCATTTAACGTTTTAAAATTTTACGTTCAAATTTTACGTAGTAACAAATGTTAAAGATTTACAAACTGTGATTAAAAAAGATTAGAAAATATATCGCGATGTTTCTAACTAAATTCCATCAATTAAATTAAATTATGTCAACATGTTAACTACGTTATCAATGATCGAGTGAGCACATGTAATTCAAATTAATAATTCAATTTGCAATTCGTTATTTGATTACTGTTTAATATGGTACGTTAATTAAGTTCCAACATGTTAATTATATATAGTGTGTGCTTAAAGATCCCTTTTAAGGACAGGCACAATATCGTCGCACACGGAGGCTACCGATTCACGTAAATTACCGGTGCCGGATAACCGTCGGATTAAGATCGTAGGCACGGAACTTATCCCGACATACATATTTTGACAAGGGTGGGCGAGGGTTAAGACCAAGATTTAGCTCGTCCATGTAGACAAAGTCCCGCGATCGTCAACGTAGTCGATATCAAGCTGGGAACTTTCTTACGGAAGAATTCCCCCAGTACTTTTTTTTCAAAGTTAAACATACGAAGGAAAAACGAAGAAAATATTCTGTCTAAAAAAAAAAATATCGTGATACTAATTTATGAGTATCTCTTAAGTTCAATGAGAAGATTACGAAACGTCATGTGGAAGAAAACGCAATGAATCACTCGTGTATCTCACATAAATCTCGTAATATAAATTTTAAAAACAGTTTTTCTAAATTTAATAAATTTTCATTTTTTCTAATTATCTCTATATCATCTTTATATTGCTATTTGTGTATATTGCACGCACGGTAGAGAGAAGCGAAACTCGTAAACTCTATATTTTTCAAAACGCGTAATAAAGTTAAAAAGCTCGGTAAAATGTGAATAAATTAATGAAAAAATATGAACAAATTTCCGCAACTGTGTTATTAATTAAATTATAAATACTCCGTTGCGCTGCATATTTTTACCTTTAAATTGAGAGAAAGAAAGAGAAAAAAATCTAGATATATAATATAGAATATATTACGCGGTAAAAAAATATATTACGCAAGAATAAAAGAAACAATTATATTCTTAACATGAAAGAACATTTGAGAATGCGAACTTTATTTCCGCATCCCTCCTACGCCCGATTCCTTTGAAAATCGCATTATGGCGAGAATCACGAAACTAACTCGACGAGGCTCGAAGACGAATCGTCCAAAGTAGCGCTTAACGAGCACGTTAAACAACTACCGCTAAATCGTCACGGGGAAAGAAGCCGCGCAAATGCACGAGAATCCTTCAACGGGAGAAGGGCGGGAGGGAGAACACACGCGAGAGAGAGAAAGAGAGAGAGAGAAAGAGACGGCTAAAGATAATGTACTCCTGCATACAGATGACGTTATTAAACGGAAATCTGCAGATGGAGCGAACGCATAAAGCACTGTCTGCCGTCGTTGTCTGATTAGGCATGCAACGTTTCCCCTTCCTCCCCCTCCCCTTCACCTCCGCCCGGTCCGCCTATTCTCTCCCCTGTTTCCACGTATAACTCTCTCTTTCTCTCTCTCTCTCTTTCTCTCTTTCGACGACATCGCGCACCGCAAGCAAATTCCGTAAAACGATAACGACAATTTTAACACCGTGTATAATGCAACATCGCGCGCGACGATCCGGTTCGTTCGCGGTATAACGAGCGAAATGCGTTTTTCTCGCGAATGCATCCCGTCGAAAAATCTCACGGGAATCGTAACCTAACCTTTTGTAGCTCGATTTCTCTCGTGTCGAAACGTTCTTTCTACCTCTTGTCCGCAAATAAAATGGAAATGCATCGCAGAGTATATTTACTGTTTCCATATTAATCTTTCCATAAATTAGTACAGCATTGAGATCGACACTTTTGCTTAAAATTAGCTGTGGAAATCTAGTTAGAGATACGTATATATATATATGGTGCTTTTTTTACCATGTTCTTTCATTATTAACTGTTTGAAATAATAGCTGCACAGGTAGGACATGAAACTCATAATGACACCATTATCATAATTTTATTTATCACTTAAAAGTCACCTAGGTGATTTTTAAATGATAAATAAAATCATGATAACGTCATAATGATGTCATTATGAGTTTCATGTTCTATCTGGGTGTGCTTAAAATATATTTCGAATATGTATTATTCTTCATATATATAAAATATTGATATGTCAAAATAATAAATATATTTCGAATATAATTATATTTATTTATATATAATTTATAAATAATTTATTTATATATAATTATACAATTATATATAATTATATAATTATATATTATTATATAATTATATTTATGAAGAATTTTCGAATAAAATGAAAATGCATCGCAGAGTATATTTACTGTTTTCATATTAATTTTCCATAAATTAGTATAGCATTGAGATCGACATTTTTGATTAAAATTAGCTATGGAAATTTAGTTAAAGATACATATATATATATATATATATATATATATATATATATATGATGCTTTTTTTACCATGTTCTCTCATTATTAACTGCTTGAAATAATAGCTGTGCTTAAAATATATTTCGAATATGTATTATTCTTCATATATATAAAATATTGATATGTCAAAACAATAAATATATTTCGAATATAATTATATTTATTTATATATAATTTATAAATAATTTATATATATATATATATATATATATATATATATAATTTTATATATATATAATTATATTTATGAAGAATTTTCGAATACATATATTATATTTAAGAAGAATTTTTCTCTTTTTCTCTTTCTTTCTGTCTCTCATATTAGTAAAGAAAATGTACTCACAAATAGGTAATGTGTCTCGTCGTCCCGAGTAATCAAGTCATCCACCATCTTGTGTTCCAGACCAAACGTCGTTGTAATCCGATCCTCCCCATCTTTTTAGAAACACACACAAGTCCAGTAGATTCACTCGCGAGACGATACTTCACTCGACACTTCACGTTCGAAAGCGCGATTTTAACGGATAAAAACGTGTTGCAACACTCTTTTGAACGAGGAAGAATATCGAATTTCTCTAACGATAAGTCCCAGTTTCCACTTAGAACGGCCATGATGCTCCAACTATCGTGAAGTCATACATATCTACGTCATTGCAAAGATTCACTCGCGATGATATTCACTCGATACGCGCTTCACTCGGCACTCTCGAAATATCCGCGGATAAAAATCGACGAAACATGTCACGATACGATTCTTTCGGAAGAGAAAATATTGAAATTCTTCGAAATTCGGTCAACGGCCATAATGTCCATCGTCAATCATATCCATGGTCAATTATTTAGTGTTGCACGATCGATATTCTAACTGTAATACGTAATTATAGCAAGAGAAGCTCGCGGCCGTCCTTTCGCGTGCGCGTCTTGAAAGCTACTATAACATCAGAAGTCAGAATTTGAGTCGTCACGTGTGAAGGTCGCGGCGACTCATAGCGAGCTACGTCACGAAAGCTAGAATTGTGTATACGTGCGCGTACAGTATATGCCAAAATATTTAACGTACTCCGAAATAATTGCGGCATATTATTATATATATATATAACATTCATAGATTGATAATACAATAGTAATAAATGTGTACAATATTCGTACACTCGATTGTCTTTCTTATCAGTCGCGTCGGTAACGAGGTAGGCAACCCAGGTAGAACATGAAACTGACATCATTATAACGTCACATCATGATTTTATTTATCAATTAAAAGTTACCTAAACAAAAATGATTAAAAAATGAGTTAAAGATGACAAAAAGAATCATAAATTTTTAAGTTTAAATTTTTAAGTTAAATTATATAATTTTAAAAAGCATTATATAATTTTAAAAAGATTATGTTGCTTAAATATAATTAAAATATACATGAATAATTAAATAAACAAGTAATTGCGTAATATATATAAAAAATAATATTAATAAGCTAAAACATTGCCAAAAGTATATCAAATGAGATTATTATGATTTTTCTAATGACGCAATTTAAATTCTTAAATGACTTTTAGGTGATGTTATAATGATGTCATTATAAGTTTCATGTTCTACCTGGGTAGGCAATGACTTATCGTCTTTCTCGTCGCGTTATCTTTTGAAATACGGTAACAACAAATACGAAAAAGTGTGAGACGCGATTATATTCTATATATAAAGTTTATGTTTGATTGATTTTCATTATTATTCGCGCGTCAAGATTTGATGAACAGACGTCGTATTATGTAGCGAAGATCGCGGTGAAATAAACAGTAGCGAGCATATGTCACAAAAGTAAGAACTGTGTATTCGTTCAATATTATATTATATTAAAATATTTAACGTACTACGAAATAATTATGGTGTATTATTATATCCAATGTTTACATGTATATTTTTTAGATTCATATGTCGACAATACGGTAGAGTAATAAATGTGTTCAATATTCGTGGGTATTTGTTCAACACTCGATTGTTTAATTAGTCATATCGATAATCTCGAGAGGATATTTAGTGATATGTGTCGTCGTCTTATCTTTTGAAATACGATAAAAGAAAGTGTGAAACGCGGATATATTCTATAATAAAGTATGGGCGTAGCCAGGATTTTATCTAGGGAAGGGCAAGAATTTATCAAATAAAATCTAATAAAATTTTTTATCATTTCAACTAAACTTTTTATTTATTTATAAGAACTTATATTTAATATTTATGTTAAAGCTAGTCTTCGCTGATCATCGGAAAATCTCTACATTTTTTTACTTTTTTAAAATTATTATTCTCTGTGTCAGGAGGGGGGGGGGAGCAAGTGCCCTTCCCTGCCCCACCCTGACTACGCCCATAATAAAGTTTATATTCGATTGATTTGTGTCACTATTATTTGCTCGTTGAGATTCGCAGACACAGCTGTTTCATCCGCGTGACGTCATATTATCTTTCTAAACGTGATCACGATAAATATGAGAAGATATCGAATCGTTATCTACGATTAATGATTATTGTATTTTGCTAATTAGTGCGTGCGCGATCATAATTACTGTATTTTCGCGAGTGTCATCAAACAACAGAATATAAAAGGCCCGCACATAGCAACGTCAAACGTGAGGTAAGCAATTTATAACCTATTTTATAATTTTATAATTTTATAATTTTAAATATTATATTCACAATATAAATACTTGTGAAGAAAGAGAGAGAGAGAGAGAGAGAGAGAGAGAGAGAGAGAGAGAGAGAGAGAGAGAGAATTGCTTATATTTTTTATTTATCTTATATTATTTACACTACGTAATATAACGGATGTAATAAAAAAAATATTCTAAATTATAATTTTGATTCATATAATTTTGCAATATCCCCAAAAAGATATATATAAGATATTAACATAATAATTGATTATATTTTTACTTATTTACTATTTTTAGATATATAAAATATGTTTCAACATTATTTAAAATTTATAATTATTTAGATTATACATATATAAATATATTTTTATATATTTTTCACATTTTATATCTCAAAAAATTTATATCTAAAATGTTTTTTTCAAAAATTAAAATTTTTTATTAAATAAAGGAATCGAGATAAAAATTTAATTAGTGGCAATATAAGTACTTTAAAATACCCGTTACTTTTGACATTGTTTTTTATGTATGTGTGTATAAGTTGGATGTATTTGTTGGATGTATTTTACACATCAACTACAGTAACTTCCCGTTGCGCACCGTACTAGTGAGTTTAAATTATGTTCTATTTTAATCTCGAATTAACAAATTTGCGAATATTGTATCAGGTACATATAAATATGTATACAGTTGTAACGCAAAAGTAAATAATTGTTTTTTAATTTATACTTTTTGCCTTTTGCATTTTATTTCTCTGCAAAATTTTGTTACATGCATCGCTTTACACAGTATTATTTTTCAACATATTACAGCGTAGCTAACCGATCCAAATGTTATAATAATGATTCAAATATTCGTATAATTGTTATCGATATTTTTGCAATATAAATAACAATTATGTTACATATGTATATATGAAATCAATTCTATATTTTTGTCTCATAACTTTCAAAATTTCTTTCTTTTAAACGTAACAAAAATTGAATTATTATTGTACGTTTATTTTATCATAATTCATATGATAAGAAGAGCGACATATACAATATTCGCAGCCGTCGTACAATCTAGGATCATCCTTCAGAAAAGTCAGCGATGTCAGAATATATTCGACCACGAGGAATGTTGGTTCCCGGGCATAATGTTGGTATGCAAGCGTGAAAAATTTAATGGGCCAAGAGTGAGAAACACGCGGGCGTTTGGAAATTTTTCGAGCCGCATTCCTCGGTTAGAATATATGCCGCATAATAATTTGGCCGCGCGCATTTACATCGTCAGTCATATATCTCGAAAGCGACTGATATGATAGCATCTTTCTTAAATTAGTTTAGATGATAAAACTTGATCGGATTTTATATCGAGATGATCGTATATCGAGATGAGCGTTTTGTTTCTTTACGTATTCTCAGTTAACAAGAAATACGGATATCGCGTAAAATTATTAAATTTATAACTTGATAAAATTTTAATTTAAATCTGTAATTTTATACAATTTTAATAAATGTTAATTCTTATGCATGTGTACTCGAGAGAGATATCGTGGCTAATATTTACAAAATTAAATTGCCTGGCTCCCATAGAGATGCTTCATTATAAAACGTTCATAAATCTTTCTAGTTTGTTGACATCTTCGCATCGTATACGCAAAATTGAAAGAAAAATCGAAATAAAAAGAATAGAGGCTGCATTCTGTCATTTTCGTTTGCGGTCCAACCTTGAAATAACTGTCGATCGTTAAGTGAATCTTTATTTAGACGAGTTGTTTTTACTTGCTTTCCTCTAATATTCTCGAAATAATATACCACGAAAAAATCCCGTTACGCAACAGCGTGTTTGTTTAAACAAGTATTTTTTCATTAAATTCTGACCAAGCTCTACTTTACAATATTAAAAAATTAAATTGATTAAACATTTTCTTTTTTTCTTTCAATAATACAAGACAATGTGATAATCATGTCCGCATTGCGTAATGCAATCTTTTATCGTAATTGGTAGATTTCATTTTTGATCGCGTATAAAAGTACCATTTAATTTAATTTGCCTTCATTTCCTAAATGAAATGGTATAAAATTCCGTCGCGGCATAATTTTATTTTCAAAAGGAATAGCAAATTGTTATCGGGCGCAATTCCATTGCTTCTGCGAGACGAGGCTACTATATCAAAATCGAAATATATCATTCTATCGCAAACGCATTCGTGATAGCGATTGAAAAGCAAAAATGATAAAATCAGACGCGGCTTGTTAGTGACGGTGCAAACAATCTACCTAGACCCTTTCGTATATTCGACGGCTGTGAAACTGAAACACTGATCACGCCCGGCAAGTTGTTGGAGTGAAAACATAAACGCGGCCGAATGCATTATGCCTGCGTAAGAAGCATAGCATTGTTCTATATACGAATCGCGCCGCAGGACCGCGATCAACATGCCGCAAACATCTGTACCATAATCGTAGAAATAGACGAACGCCAAAGCCGTAAAGGGGTCGTCAACTATGTACATAATTTCCAACTTCTCTGACTCTATCCGTTTCTCTGCAACGGACGATTCTCCAGAAGTACCGAATCTCTCGGTCACCTCTAAATATATTCACCTGACACACGAATAACATCGCGCATGGGAATAGTCTCATTTGTACTTCGTATGCACCGTTTTCATTAATAAAATAGATTGACTGACGACAAAACAGAAAATTGCTCGAATCGCACCGCAAAATCAGCGCGACTATCATTTACAGAATGAAAAAAATATAAGCGATTACGTTATTTAATATACAATCGGGAAATGAACGAAAGTAGAATTTTTAAATTGGAATTTTATCGAGAGATGTATTAATCTAACATTTATGTTCTGGTCTTAATTCGTTTGTTCATTTCTTATTTTTTATTTTTAATCAAGAGATTACATAATTTGAATTAAAATTCCCAATTTGATTAATTGATGAAGTGAGTCTCGAGTTTGTTTTCCGAGTGTGCACAATCGATCAACGATTTTTTAAAAGGACAGACGATCGACTCTTTCATCCTCTGTCATGATTCAGACAATCTGATTCGAGTTCAACTCCAACTATAATTTGGCTGACACACATTTCTCGACACGAAACAGTCAAAATTACAAAATTCTAAATGGGGTGGGGACTGACAAGAACGCATTGCCCGTGTAACAGCAGCCAGCAAGTGCAGGAATGCGCTCCGTCAAAGCAAGTCACGGCGGCATGTTCTCCCATCATAACAGCGATGGTGAAGTCCACTTGTGGAGCAAGACGGATGCTCGTCTCCGCCGTCATCCTGATCTTTTTGCTGGCCGCTATATATTGGGTATCCTTGAACCAACAAGCGAATCCTGACATACGTCGGCCAATGAGACTTCAACCGCAAGCTTCCCGAAATATCGCGTTGGAGCGAACCGAGGCTGCGGAAAGGGCTGAGAGATGAAGTAACATCATTATAACTCTTGTTTTCTTCGGGAAATATATAGGATAATTCCAAGACAATTGTAATTTATTTATCGTTCATATTTTTTAAAAATATGTACGTATATGAATTTTTTACATAAATTTAACTTAGAATTACATAAATGAGAAATATTCCTTGGATAATAATAATTTCTTTATACGTAGCTACCTATTTTTGGATAGTTTAAATCGGAATTATCCTAACGAATTCCGACAAATATTTAATGCAGATTAATAAAGATGTGAAATTGGCAAATAAATCTAAAAATATTAAACTAGGATAATATCAGCGTCGAGAGCAACATAATCCGTAACAATACGAAGTTGCATTTCCAAGCAGCAAGGCTGCATTTCATTGCTGGACATCGACGTTATATATCATAATGGCAGCTGTTATACAATACATTCATCACGTGTAAAAAATAAACATTTCAATCGTATAAATGTAATGCTGAATACTAAAACAAAGAGATGCAATAATAAAGCTTTCGTAACATACAGAGTTAGTTTATTACAATCGAGGAAGAATAATATTAATAATAATAATTTGTTACGACGCGATCAATCTATGCTTTTTAAAAATCACTACATTTCTCTCGATTTTACAGACATCGATAAGAGTTGCAAGAATTAAACACGCGAATAATTTTAAAACGAATAATTGAAACGAGTAATTACAAAAATTTATTTGTTCACGAATTTAAATAGAAAAAAAATTTAAATATCGAGAATCATTTGTAAAATATGAAGCCATAACATCCGCCTTTTTCAGACACATCCTTTTATGTCTGTTAATAACACTCTCTTCGATGTACGTTCTTATCGCGAACACGCGCGATAAAGTTGCGATAGAGCTTAACACGTGAAACAAGTATCGTACATTGTAGAGGATTAAATAAACTGCCAATGTACACAACGGGAATGGTTCTAATCGAGGCTACCCAGACCATCGAGCACGCGCAACATCATCCCCAGTTCTTCGTACGTGATTCTAATCGGATCGTCATTGCACAAGCTAATATATGCCAATAGCAGTTTGGCGATAATGTCCCGTTCCAAAAGTTCGCGCTCCACTTCCGGATATTCCTCCTTCACGGCGTCCAAGTAAAGTCGCAAAATATTCCGGGAGAATGTCTCGACTTTCGACAGTTCACCTTCTTCGGGTATGTTGGTGAAGAGAATAAGACCAAAATCGATCGCCGGCGAGCCGTACTTCATTGTTTCCCAATCGATCATCTTTACGTCGCTCGGTTTACCATTCTCGTGCTTGAACAATACGTTATCCCGCGTGAAATGACCATGGCAGACGATCGATACATCGTTGATCTCCGTGGCCAGACTTTCCATTTCGTGTAGCTTTCTTTTTACTTTCTCAACGAGACTTGACTCGAGTGATGCCAAGCTCAAATGTTCGCTACAAGCAATAAGAGATCGAGGATACCTTACAAATCTTTCTACTTTGATACTTTTTAATTAATAAAATATCAATTATAATAACACATTATTATTATAAGAATTAACTACAACAGAGATTACGTATTGATCACATCTTAAAATCAGGAATCGATACAAATGATCTCGCGCGACATTTTAATTCAATGTAACATTAATAATAATAATAATATTAATAATAAATATTAGCATAATCTATAAAAAACGTGTAATCGTTTCGGCACATTTAAACGTGCGTACGTATTAAAAGGTGATTTACCTGGCATTGAGTATTTGCTGAACAGAAAACAAGCTGTCCGACACAGACAGTTTCGCGTAGAACTCTCGAAAAATGGGAAACTTATGCGCCTTGAGCTTCAATCCTCTGCTGTGAAACGTCGCCAGAGCTTTTACGCACAGCTTCAAGTGATCCTCGTCTAATTTATCGTCTACATGTGCGTAACCACGCGCGGCTAGATCCTCCAACACTATAACCGGCCGGCCGTATCGACCCAGGTCGGACAGATAACACTTGGGTACACCATCCGTCCCGTACTCGAGGATCATCTTGGTATAAAACATCTCCTCGTTCTGAAAAGGGCCGGACGGCGGAGATTCCGCGTCCGTCTTGGGCAACTTGATAACGAGAGGGAAGCTGCACGCCTCGCCGGAAAATTTCACCCTCGCCGTCACCCGGTATAACTTGGTGCTGTAATCGCGCATCCCGAGATGCTCCACGTCAAGGGAGTCGAATTCGACGAACTCCCTCGAGCCGGGCTCGCAGAAACGACGATCGTACACCATCTCCGGTATCAATTCCTGCCTCATGAAGTCGCAGTCTCCGCACCGGCACTGCACCTCGGACTTGGTACGGAAATCTGGGTCGGCCATAGCGAAAGGGAAAAATAATATCGCTGTAATAAAACACGGCAGCAATTAAGGACACCGGCACTAGAGAACCGCGCGCACTTGAAGCCGGAAAGTCGAGAATTATGAGGAATTTTTTCTTCTTTCTCTCTCTCTCTCTCTCTCTTTTTTTTTCCCCTTATGCCCTCCTCGTTCTAATAACGTTGTCGCGACGAGTGCCGCGCACGTTAATAATGTTTATCGTCACGAAATGCAACGAGTCGCCGGAATAATTAAAAACATTTTAACCGTGTTGTTGGCCCCGAGAACGAGTCGTGGAGCGACGTAGACGAGCGTTACCGCTAATAACCAAACAAGTGATACGAGTAGTTGTCGCAATTGTATGCAAATTACTGCGAAAGAAATGATTTATTAATATACTTTACCTCGACAAATGATAGAACCACGCGTAGAATTCTCGATCGTAAGCCACTGCTAACTAGAAATTCACCATCTCTGTTACGTAATTGGAATGTCTCCCCTCCATTCGTCTCATTGACGATTCCTCATTCATTCGACCGACCCAGTCAGCAGTTCTAAAAACTCAAATAGAGAATATTACTTTTTCTTCTAACTTTAATTTGCATATATATTAAATATATATAGCAATTATATCATCTGTTTAATCCATTTATTATCTGTTCTTTATTCATTTTTTTCCTCTCATTTCTAAAGCGCTCGCTATCGATTTTGAACAAGTAAAGAGAAAGATCTGGAGCTAATTTTAGACGAGGAATGTCACGTGTCAAACGTAGGTTTAATACACTTGATAAAAGTCCAGTCACGTATCTTCGTTTAGATTTATTCAATAGATCAGGGAATTATTTTCTCGCGATAATTTCCTCAAGCGTATAATTTATCAGTTATTGCGATTCGCGAAAGTCGTACACATATTAAAAACACAATCACGATACCGTAGTCTCTTATTTAAAGACCTCCGTGTCACGAGGGACCAACCCAGCTGTACGTAATGAATGAACGCTGTGTAGAAAGTTATGGCACGATGAGCTATATTTCCCCACTCTTTCAAGATAACGAAGCCGACTTTCATTGGCTTTTAATGACGTCGCAAACGAGTTTATGCCGCGAACTAAGCGTGACGAACCATTTAGTTATCGTTCCCGTCGTTTTAAGTATATTTTCATTGGCATTTAATCCGGAAAAAGGTATCGATCGTAAGAACAGCGGAAGTAACTTTAAATTGTGTTACAGAGATTACCGTCTTATTAAAGAAATTACTCACTCTAATCGGATCTATATAACTAATCGGATTTATTTTAATCAGGTGACGCGTGAGCTTGGGACTTTAAAATGCCGAAAGAAAAATTGTCTCGCCACGTTCGTCGTAACGAACTTGAAGCTTCAAGCGGAGCATAAATTGTGAAGTTTCCGTGGTGAACGTACATTTAAAATGCGGAATTAAAGATGTTTGCATAGCTGAAAAAGCACCTTTATTTTACGGTAATCTTTTCCCGAATACTTTGAGAGAAAACACTTTGCAATTATTTATGCGCCAACGAATTTTCCCCAACGATATAAACTATCGATGGCGTAATTTTTATTTTAACGAGCCGCTACAACTTCAAATCTCAACAAAAGCACCGACCATCTCGTGCTTGACATATCATTCACATTATTCTAATCTAAATTTTCACGTGTAATTAAGTTCAAATTGCAAACAAACAAGAAACAGAATAATGCATCATTGATCATCAACCGAAATAAATGGACACGACAGTCGCAGCCGAGATCTAAATTCCTAAAGCAAAGCAATGATCTAACCTCCGATACCGATGATTAATTTACCTTGTACCGTGGCCTCGATGTCACAAATCGCGCCCTGTCAGAACGTACCCGTACAGACGAGTCAGTATAATTTTCCAACATGCCAACAACGGCAAACCAGTACTCAGCAGATGCAAACTGCTACATGCGGTCCGTGTTCCGGAATTTCTCAAGGTAGAAAGTCAATCGCACTAATCAAATGTTAATATTTTTAACATGTTACATATAAATTAAATATATATTAAATTAGTCAAAATATATTATTAAAAAAATGAATATATATAAAAAAAATTATACAAAACGTTAAACTGTCGCTCTACTTCGTCTCTATCCAAGGACCCTTCGTTCGCCAGCCAGACACTTACGTAGTAACGCACCAATGTGCATCGCAGCCAATAACGAATCCATGCCAACCCGTCTTCCAAAGTCCATGCAATCCCCTGCCGAGTCATCCCAGCTGCGGCCAGCTGCCGCAAAATATTCTGGATCAGATCCGCGCGTGTGTCAGCAACACCGCGCCCATTTTCATCCTGCCCGGTAATTGCCAACAATCACCGGCGCCTCAGCAGCAGCAGCAACAACAGCCGACTTTGCCGCAGGCGACGGGTTTGCCTCCTCCGACAACAACCGCGTATCCGCCGACAGGATTGACTTATCCGGCCGCGTGTTACCCGCCGCCACCGCCGTTTTATCCTTATCCCATGCCCATGCCGTTTTACGATCCGTCTACTCGCGCGCGAGACATCGCGCAGAGTTGCGGATGCTGCCGGCGAAGGGATATCGATTCGACAGATATCAGAAGCATCGCGCGAACCGGTTGTCGTTTCGACTCCGATCTGGACGAGCATCATTGCGTGCCCACAACCGACGACACCATCTGCGCGAAGAGAAACTGTCCGTCTTCATTGCATCTTCAAGCATTGGCATCTCAATTTCTCTCGATGCAGGGTATCATTGCGTGCGCTGCCACGCGATTGATATTGCGCAAAGTGCCCGGTTCGAACGTAACCACTACCATGGAAGATACGATGGCGAAGGCGCAGAAGGCCATAAGCGTTTTGACGAAGGATCAGCTGTTGTCGGAGTCGAGGAACGCGCAGCAAGTTAACACGTTGATCAACCTGCACATGACGGCCAATCCGCCGCCCAATATCATCCCGATCCTCACCCTGGTACAGCTGAAGATGAATCTGCTGAAGGCGCAGGTCGAGGGACTCGTCAACCAGAAGATGATGGAAATTCAGGGCGTTGGTGTGGAGGTATTAAAAATTTTATTCCTCATATATATATATACATTTATTTATTTTTTTGTCAAAAATAATAAATTTATTTCTGATATAAAAGTTGTAAAGAAGTATAAATTTTATCTCACTTTAATAATCATCAAAAAATAAATTACATGTAATTTATATTTTAAAATATATTTACTTAAGATTATTTTATTTTCATTATATCGAAATTAATTAAAACTAATGATAGTTTAAGACTTTATTAACACTGATCTAATAATAAGTTGTCTACAAGATTCTAATTTTATTAAATCCTAAAAGTCATAAATATAATTAATATAAAGAAGTATTTATACATAAAATGATTAATTAGAATATTATTAAAAACATTAATATATATATATATACATCCCAAGGTGGAGACGGAACTTATAGATCCCACGGTACTCGCTCTAAAGTCCGATGCCGAGCTGCGAGACTTTCTATCGATATTACGACAGAAGGAATGCGATGAGCGAGTGAACGTGAATTTCGCACCCTATCGCTCGCAGCGAGCGATCGCGGAGACTCGGCTGAGGAATATTCAAAACAAGCTTCGTCAAGTGGAGACCGAATTCGATCGTAGACGATGCGCGATGCTACCGGCGCCGACGTTGACGTCGCGTATCGTGCAGCAATTCTCCAGACCGTGTTACTCGGCGAGATTCGAGGATCCCAGAAGATTGTACAGCACTTTACCCCCGGACATTCCTCGCTCGCCCGATCCGTTCGTCTGCGCAAAACCGCGCAGTCCCAAGAGGCTGCTGTTGAAACCGTGCAGAAGCAAGCCCGAAACTAAGTCGACGCAAGTCACTGCTCCGACAACCAGCACGCCCGGCAATCCGCCAAAAACGACGACCGATAGTGGTGCCGGTCCTACAAAGGAAGGTTCCTCGACAGCCGACCTTCAGCGACCTTCCAGCACGGAGGATTGCACCTGCGACAGGACGACGTCGGACGAGAGCGTCGATGAGGCTAAAAAAAAACTCCGTCCGAGGATCGTCGAGATAAAGGCGTGTAACGTCGAGGAACCGTCGTCCTTGATAAAGCTAACGTCGAACGTCTGTGTGAGATACGGAGCGAATTCGCGAAAATGCAACGGGAAAAGCGACGTGGAGACTCCATGCGATGCGAAATGTTGGATGGCCAAAACGTATATCAATGTCATCGACGATGAATCGGCGAGGACTTTAACGGGATCGGAGAGCGACGCGATTACGCTCAGAGGGAAGATCGATGCAGAGGACGTTTGCGAATCGCGAGATGCGATTGAGATTCGAAGCTTGGGCCAAATAATGGATCGGCAGGAATTTACAAGTTCGGCGGATCTGCGACAGTTTGAAAAACAAGCAGAGACTGCGATCGCAATTTCGAGAAAGAATGAGGCAATTAAGGACTACGACATTGAGACTAGGCGCTTGCAGGATGTCTCGTCGCCGAAAGTTGAGCAGACGGAGGTGAAAACCATAACTATTGAAGAAGTCACGGACGATGAGCCAATTTCGAGTGCGCAGGAAACGAACCGAAAATCACCGAACGACTATATTTCATCGCTAGAAATTACGTTAGGGTCGAAGAGAGACCAGCAAGAAGATGAACGGAAAGATAAAAACGGCCAAATCTTTTCCGCGATTGAAACGATAGACCGAAGCGCAAATCAAGTACCAAAAAGCAAGAAAAAGACGAGATTTCACGACGAGATTGTTTCGTTGATGACGAATATCGTATATAATAACGAAAATCATGAATATCGAAATGAAATTGATAAGAAAATAGTAACAAGAGAGATAAGTATAATTGCCGATCAGGATATTGAAAAATTGGATAAATGCAATTCGATAGAAAATCTAAGAAATGCCATCACGCACGATATTATTGGAAAAGATCATCCACAGAACATGTTTCTAGAAAAACTTGAAGATCTTTCAAAGCTCTGCGTCGATCGTCAATGCCAGACTGCATCTAAGGAAAAGAAAACAATATCTTTGTTAAGAATAAATCTCTTTGCTCCGTTCAAGAATATGCATAAATATATGGCAGGTAAAAGTCATTAGTTCAATCCTCTATCTTAAAAAGAGAGAAAAATTGAAAATAAAAACAATTTAAAAATAATTTTTCACATTAATTAATTCCATTAATTAATTATAACTCGCAATTGCTTTCAATTAGAGAAAAAAATCATCAGGGAATAATTGTAAAAATTATTGAGTATTAAATATATATAATAGAAGAATTTTAAATCTCAATTTTTTATACAGATAATGAGAGAAACGGAAACGACGTAGGAGTTTATCCAAGTCCGATAACGAAAGCGGGAATTACGGCTAGGAAACGTTTATCCCACTGGAACGATGTCGCAAAAAATAGCCCGGAAACTCGTTACAAGGATAATGCGCGTTATCCGCATTCCAGTACGAAATGCGAAGAAAGTTTTGTGTCAGAAATATTTTCTGTTATCGCCAATCGCGTGATTGCATTCGTCAATAAAGTAATTACATTGAATGGAAGACTGTCGTATCCGAATCGTGGCGTAATAGAAAATAAAAGACATTTAAACATTAATCCCTTAGGAGCAGTCACTCCGATATGCAGTCACCCCGAGCTAATCTTAAAAGATCACGATCCAAATATCTTGCATCGTTCCTTTAATTTAAATCGAGGAACACTTGATATAATCAGCAAATGTAATTTTCGCGACGCGAGCTTATCACGGGTTTCTACGGGAGAGGGATACGATAAGACGCGTAAAATAAGACACTCGATAATCCGAGACCAGGAAAATGATACGAAATATTTATTGATCAGCACGTCGAGTCGTGATTGCGATCTTACGCTGATACGTGATTTAGGACACCCTTACGAGATCCAGAGAAGCCTTCTGATACGCAGTCGATTGAAAAATCGTTCGAGTATGCAGGACCCTCCACATCCTTTTTCGCTTTTGAAACGCATTGGGAAAAATATACCTCAGAAATTCCATCAAACGAGACGTAACGGAAATGTAGAAACGTTTAAAGAAATGAAAATACGCAAATTGAAGAATAGCGAAAAATTCTGGGCATTATCGGAAGTTATAAAAACGCGCGATAAAGTATCGGAAATAAGGGAATATGGTACTGAATTTAAACAAGTTTTACGCGAATATTCGCACGATATTACGATTAATAATGCATTTACTACGCAAAAACGTGGAATTGTTGATAATATCGATTTAGCTGACGATGAATTCGTGATAAACGTTCATGATTATTCCGGATTGCAAACTGAAATAAATACAAATACGTGCGAAAATCGCAGCATATGTTTATTATTATCTAGCAACTGACAAGAGTATACTGTTATACCAGCAAATATAATTCGGAATTATAAAAATATTATTTATACGACCCTCTCCTTTTCGCTAAAACGGTTAAATAAAGTACACAATTATCGAGTATAATATAACTTCGTTCCTTTATTAATAACTTTTATTCCTTCATCAGTGATCTATTCTCGTCGCTATAGCCGTCTAATGAGAATCTTTAAAATTGTGACGTAGTAACAGTGTATGACGATAAAGTTTTGAATGCGCTTTTCCAGAATCGGATTCTACAAAAGAATGGGAGAGAGTATTCGTGGAAAAAGTATTCATTACATATCCCACGTGCACTCGTATCGAACTGACATATAATTATTACAATACGAACATATGTATATCAAGCACATTTTAATTTCTTTGTAATTTTTTGATCTCTAATTTATTTATTTAATATATATTAGATTTCTTACATCCTAAAGTCGATTATCAGTAGAAAATGAACGAATTTAACGCATTAGTTATTAAACTAATATCGCAACAACGGAATCCTGTCTTCACATATCAAAATACATAAATAACAACGTCACATGATACTGCCCTATATATGTATAATATTCTTCAATGAATAAGATGATGCTTCATCATGACTCGAAATATCGAAGACATAATGGAGATACACAATTGGCATTTTACACAAGTAATGTGAAATTCATATTTGTGTGTGGAAGAGTTAATGTTCGCGCAAATTGTAAATACATACAAATATCAAACTTTGCAATGAAAAAGCAATTCAAAATATTAGCCAGTTAGAGCCATGTTAATACACATTATTAATACATGTACTCCTCAAGTACATACTGTAATATCAAAGTTATAAACGGACCATATGCTTAAGATAAATATGCTCTCTTATAGAACTACGTCTAACTGCAGACTGAAGAGACACTTGTGGAAGAAAGATCGAACCTATTATTGTGAAGTATTTAATCAGTCACGACAATCTCTGCTTTTATTATGAAAGATTTCGTTTTAAAAGGAACTGAGCGACATCTCCATCGTCACATTTCAAAGTTTAACAAATCATCGCGTAATACAGTGTCAATTTAATACACAGTATTTTACGATTGTTGCATATACATATATATTAGATATCTCGATATTTATATATAATTAATGAAAAATTTATTATTTTTTTAATTATGTGACATATACAAGAATTTAATATCTACAATTTTACAGATCTGTTGTTACTCTCGCGATATCTTAAAGAATAAATATTTGATCTTCTCTGTAGCTTGTTGCTACTATTTAGCGAGATACGGCCGTCAAACATTCAAGAAATTAGTCCGTTATTGGCAGAATCTTTTGTGAAAAATATGTGTATGAAAGAGAGATAGATTACAAAACAATGTATTGCAAACAATATATACTACTATATATATATATGTATATATAAAATTTTTTCTCAATAATATATAAACGAGTGATAATTATTTTTTGGCGTGGTGCAACAATTGCATATGGACATTCGTTCATAATACGTGCGTTAATCTTAAAACCTAAAAAAAAGAAAAGAAAAGAAACATTCTTTTGTTAAATCTCTCAATCAATATCAATTATTTTTAAAAATATTATTTTTGATGAGTAAATATATACAAAAATATTTACAGAGAGAAATACATGTACACCATTACATGCAAAGTAATGGCATATTATAGAAAGAATGATATATATAAAAAAAATTTAGTTAAAAATTAATACTTCCTACGACAAATCTTTGATCAAGAACTTAAACAACTAAAGTACTTGCAATATATGATTGCTGAAGCATATCTTTTACATTTATAATAATACAAATAGCAAATAAAATTTTTTTATATAATTTTAACAAAGAACGAGATAATAATCAATGATCCAAGATTAGATGAATGCAATTATGAATACATAATGTAATGTGTAATGAATCTAAAAAATCTTCAATACATTATACATATGTTACCTGTGCGCTATAAATGTAAAAGAAAAACTTGAATTACTTAGAAAAACCATGATAATCACGAGCTATCAGCTATTTTTATCATCACCATAATAGACTTCAAAGAATCGTGACTATTGAAAGTTAAGTAGGCAATTGCGCATCTTTAAATTTGAGATTTTATTCCGAATATATCTGGATTTCTTTATCCAGATATATGTACAAGTTGAATTTCTTGATTCGGAATGTCAACTTGGACAAAGGCACGATTGACCATAGGTAATACTTGTGCAAAATATTACTATGTAAAAATTAAAACTCTCCCCATACATTTCAAGAACTAAAATAACAATAAATATAAGCAAAGCGAATACTATTTTTTGTATACAATGTACAATCGAGAGAGGTCCTGTCTCTTTCTTTACTTTCTAATAAAAATATTCAGAATCACTATTTTTTCGCTCCAAAAACAAAAATCATTCAGACGCACCAGTTCCCGCTTTCTCAGTTCTCGCTAAGTTCATTATAGTTTTTTTAAATGTATTAAGTTTTTTTTTTTAATTCACGCCTTTGGTATACTCAGCTCTTAATTGGCCGAGTGTTACTTTTATATCGTGAAAACTCGGTCTTTTTTCTGGCTGTAAATCCCATGCCTATTAAAAAAATAATGTGTTTTACTAATGATAAATATGTAATGTAATGTATATAATGTAGCAAAAATCAAGGAATCATTAATTTACCTGTCTCATAATATCGTAAACTTCCGCAGGACATCCATCTGGTGGTTCCATCTTATACCCTTTTTCTACACATTTTACAACATCGGCTAATGGCTATAATTATAGTAATAACGTGTGAATAAAATGTCGTATGTTTCTTATAAAAGTTCAATGTGACGATATCACTTACAATTCGCGGATACGGTACACGACCAAAGGAATAAATTTCCCAAAGAAGAATTCCAAAACTCCACATATCAGACTTGTTTGAAAACTTCTAGAAATAGCAATGTAATAATAATAATGAATCTTATGCAATGTAATACAATGTTATAACAATATATCTTTGATATAATGTTATAACAATATATCTTTTATTCACCTATAAGTTATCATTAATTATCATACTTACATTCTGTTTTAGAGCCTCTGGTGCAGTCCATTTGATTGGAAGCTTTCCACCATCGAGGGAAAAGTTTTCATCCCGTGCCAATCCGAAATCGGATACCTTAGCGGAATTATCCTCTGCCACAAGAACATTTCTCGCTGCCAAGTCTCGATGAACAACATGTCTGGATTCCAGGTACGCCATACCGGCACACGTATCGCTATATTATTAAAAATGCGATCAATAATACATTTAGATATTTTATAATTGGCGCGAAAAGTTATAATTTTTAACGTACTATGCAAAGTTGATCTGATCTTTTTTAGAAACGTGTAGTCGTCCTCTCGAGCGTAAATAATCCACCAGGGATCCTTTACTCATATATTCCGTAACCAGGTACATATGTTGATTATTAAAAACGAGACCGAGTAATTTAACTAGATTGTCATGTATCAAGGAGGTCATTAAACTTGCCTCGGCCAGAAACCTCTGCGCCGCTTCGCTATTATCCTTCAACATTTTCACCGCGACTCTTTCCCCTCGATAAACGCCTAACAGTACATCGCCAAACTCTCCTTTTCCAATGCACTCTCTTAATTCTAACTCGTGAGTCTGAATCACCCAACCGGCCTCTACGAATGCTTTTGGGTCGACACAGAAATCTTGCTTGCCTTGTTTCGGTAAGGATTTTGTTAGCTGCGTGCATAAACCGTCCGCATCCTGCTCGTAATGCTCCACTAAGAGCGCTAGATTCTCGAAAAATTCCTCATCATCGATCGTTAGCTGATTGTTTTTATATTTGACCCTATAATGCTGTACGCGTCCTTGGTAGCATACGCAGAGCGTGTAGTCTCCGGGAAAATTCGTTGACTCGCGGACTAGGAACAAACCATCCTCCCGCGGTCGCAACAATCTTTCTGCCGTTTCTCTAGATATCTTTCCATGGAACCATCTGTAACATAAAGGACATAAAATGTCAAAGTAAATGGAATATTATAGATTTTTAATTTATAATATTTTCAGTAGTACATGCTGTGTGAAAAAAATTCGATTTATATACTTATGTTAATTTTCGTATGTCCAATGTTTTAAAGTTAGTAAATGTAACCGATTTTGAAATTGTTACATCTGTAAATGTTAAGCTAAGTGTGCGATAGATGATGATACATACGGCATCGCGTTCAGCTTCACCTCGTGTCGCGGATTGACCGGCAACGCGGTGGTGTTGGCGCCCGGATTAATGACATTGGAGGTGAGAATCACCGGCGAGGGCGCGGTGTTCACGTGCGTGGTGATGTTCGGGGTGGTGACGCTCGAATGCGTGGTCATCGTCGGCGATACTGGATGGGACGGAATGTTACCTGCAGACAGGTTTGAAGGAACGCTGTGTTGCTGCTGCTGCTGCTGAGTGCTGTTTTGTATGAGGGGATGGGACGTTACGTTTGAAGGGATAGTGTGATGATTTTGATTGCCGTCGAGCTTCGCTTGTCGCGCTGGCGCTGACACATTCGGGTATCCGCCACCCGCATTGTGGTACGTTGGCATGGCAGTTGCCGCACAGTAGGCTCTATTAACCTGCGAAGATGAATGAAGCGCATTTACATGAGCGGGCGTGATTTATTCAGTATGCCTCATTAAATAAGACGCGTATTAGATATGTTCCGGTATATTCGTGATTCATATGCAGAATATAACGCAGGGCACAAAGTGAATAAAACGTGAGATGAAGAGTTTGAGATCAAGGCGTAATTTTAACATTTTTAAAAAAATATATACAAATCTTTAATATTGTTAAATATCGCGAATAATGATCCTTATATGTACTCGTTGAATCTTGTAGCTTAGATTTCTTTCGAGATAATCTTTTAGGGTCATGAACATAATGGACAATCATCCACCCACTTTCTCCTGTACTCCTGGAGAGAACATTAAATTAGGTCGTTAAATAGTTGCATATTTGACTTTTTTTCAATTTTTATCCTTCGTTATCTTAAGGATGCTTTGTAGATATTTTCAAAAGAATTAAGAATTTAATGAAAATTGTACAGAGTGACCTTACATATGATTAGAATCTTCAATACAATTTTTAAATCGATTCACTAAAGCGTTCACAAGTTATAAGGATTTTAATTTGCACCGAATTAACATGTGTTCTTATGGGAAATGTATAACCATGTCGATTCAAATGACAAAAACACATGGAAATAATATTCAGAATTTGTTTAAAATTTGCAAAAATTTAGATACAGAGGAAATATTTGGTCAAATAATATTATACAAGTACTAACTGGTTAAAAACATATTAAATATAATTCAATAAAGTTAGCCATGTATCTGTCACAAGGCGAAATTCTCTGCCAAAAGTTAATTATTTCGATTAACAAAATTCGGAATATTTCAATAAAAACGCAATAAATATTAAAAAAATACATCTCTGCACTGTATCTAAGATCAAATTGTAATATTCCACGCAATTTCTCACACTCAAAATACACTGTGGTGTCATAAAAGTGTGTCATAAAAGTGGATATATTCGTCAATATTAGATTTTAGCTATTTTTTGCTGGGATTGTACATACAAAGCATTCTTAAGAAGTCGCAAAAAATTTTTTTGATAGAAAAGAAATTATGTACGAAGATAGTTGCGAGGTGATCAGCGATGACTTATATTGTCGGGACGACTCAATTTTCTCGGAAGTAATACGCGTATTCGCGAGGAAGCGATTAATTGAACCTCGTTAGGCAAATTGGAGCTCGATACAAATTCAACCGGCACACACGTATGTGCCGGACCGCGAGTTTTAATATGCAGCGGTTAGTCTAACGTGTCTATTGTCTGAAGGCACCATACTAGCGCGATGCTCATCTGCCGTATTACGATGCGCCGCACGTCCGTACAAGGGACGTGTATGATAGGTGAGTCACACCGGCCGCGCATTATTTTCACAACGATTGTAATGCGAATAAGCGTGGTAGTAAGCCTATAATTATCGGAATCTGACTAAGCGACATAATTTCTGCGCGGGCTGCATTTCCGATTGAAAATTTATCTACCGCGAGAAATCTAAAGTCGCATCCATTCTCGTACGTATGCTCTGTTGTGTCGTACTTTGAGAACGGAATTTTGTCAGACCGAATCGATTTATCGGAACACGCATTGACGCATTGAGAGAGGCTGGAGAAATCTCTCTGCCAGTCACGATGAATGAAATATTACAACACGTACGATATGCAGGGGAATAGCTTTTGAAGAAAATGCTTGCCGGCATGATTTCCTTGCGCTATCCGTATCATGATCAAGTACGATAAGAAGAAACAAATCCATCGTACCGGCAAACACTGAATAATTCAACCGAGGATCTATCCTTGGTCGGGTGCCCGCGAGACGGAAAGAGAGAAAGAGAGAGAGAGGGAGAAACGAGCGAGCCAGTTATATCACGTATAGTTGCAGCGAAACGTAATAATAATAATAATAATAATATGCGAATCGTTCTATTACATAAACTCCCCCTTTCTTCCCCTCCTCCCTTAAGTAGCCACTTTTCTGTCGTGTGTCCCTGCTCCGGATTTCGAGGCAGACAGACGGATGAGAGCGGTCAAGCTTTACGTCGAAGAGAATACGAGATGCCGAAGGGAATATTAGACGAGAGTTACTCTCCGTTTTGAAAAATATATACCTCGGAGAACTCGCGCCGATCGAATTTACGATATCCGATAGAACTGCATAATTCATATCACGCTGGCCGCACGTAAACGTATTCGACGAAACAAGAACGGAGAATTAAACGTTGAATTTTATAGGTCAGAGAGGGTATCCTCCGCAACGCGCCGTCTTTCTTTACGAAATATTTTGTTCACAGCCGAAAAAACGGACATCGCGCGCCCGTCAAATGCGAATCGCCTTGAATATCAATCTGGCTGAATCCGAATGCGCGATGCGTACATACACGTGTAATACACGTTCCACGTCGCGCTTGTCGGGTTGACCATCCGACTGCACGACCGCGTAGATTTCAGGCTAATGAAATTTATTATCGGCTGCACGCGACGTTAATTCTTCTCTCGCCGGTGCATAACACGTGTAAAAAAAAGCTGCTATGCAAAACTTATTGTATCGCATGCAACCGAGTACTTAAGAGAGCCTTATACAGGGTGGGGCAATGTATATGTATGTATATATATGTATGTATATGTATATGTATAATTATAAATCCGCCATTTCTATGACGCAAACTATCTATCTGAGATAGTCCAATATCGGTGATTCAGAACAAAATGCGTGTGGTTTCTGTAGAGATTTCTTATAGAAAACTTGATGAGTAAAATGCATCATGAAAAAAAATTTTATCGATCAGTGAATGAATAATGAAAGAAATTGATTTGAAAATTTTATTACACACAAAAATTCAGCTTTGATTTAATCTGATATTTATTCGTATCTATAGTATTATCTTAGGATTTGTAATAAATATTTTGAAAAAAATATTTTGAAAATAACATACTAACAAATATTAAAATAATGTATTAATAAATATTTTGAAAATAATGTTTTAAAAATATATAAGTGAATTGTTAATTTATTTTCAGAAAAGTAATACTTTCTTTAAGCTCGAGACGGATATCTACTGTTTCGTTCCTGTTTCCTGATGTAGCAAAATCGTAATGTTTTCTGATGTAGCAAAATGGCTAAAATTCTCGAGTTTCCAAGTCTGTTTATCGGACAGATAGAAACGCAAAGTAAGCTAAGTATTTTACAAGGCAAATATCATTGAGTGCCCGTTTCGCGAAAAAAAGGCTCAGGACTTCTTCGTGATGCGCACTTGTAAAAATATTACGAATCGATCGAATAGTAGATTGCAATGTCATACATATATGTTAATTTCAACAGAAAAATACGTAATAATTATGCATTTCGTATGCAAATTTCAAGGTCGACACGAAAGTTTCTGTTTACATCAGTATTTTCCGAAGTCCAGCTTCGAGTGATTCACTCTCGGGGCTTTTATGCGAACCGCAGACCGCAGAGTTCGCATTGCGCATATTTCATCGATAGCCAATGTGATTATATTCGCGTGTGAAAAGCCCCTTGTTTACCTGCAAAAAGAGTTTTCTCGTGATACGATTGCGCTGTGAACGTGACTATAAGCTTTCGGAACGGAACAGTAAATTGGGATAATCACACAACTCCATCCCTTGTGGGCTTTTGACAAGCAGGGCGAGAATTTCTATGAACGGAGTATCTTGTATCTTGCTTGCAAAAAGAGAGCTATTTACTGGAAGCCTACATTTTTAAAGCAAAATTACAAATTAAAAAAAAAATCAAATTATATCTTTTTAGAAGAAAGAAAATTTTCCCTTGGAAGATTTTCCTTAATATATTTTCTTAATATATATGTATTTTTTCTCTCATATTTTCATTAATTTTCCTTAATTCTTAATTTTCCTTACAGAAAGATAATAATTTATAATAGATACAAAAAAGAGAATAAAATAGATACAAAAAAATTACATGAAATGTATTACATCGCACAATAATTGTTAATATAATTAATTATATATATACTCCTGGACAAAATTAACGCATAATTTTTTTTCACTTTTTCTTTAAAATTTTTTGCTAAAATTTAGATATCAGCTTTTAAGGAATGTGTATATATATATATATATATATATATATATATATATATATATACTTTCAAAGTATATATATATATATATTTTTTTTTCAACTATAGCATACTCTGAAAGTCTAAGAAATCGGACGCAATCACGATGAGATCGAATATTTCGTATTCATCAAATTAGATACGCGTTACACTGAGTCGACGAAAATTTCTCGCATAGCTGATTCGTGTAAAATCGTCCGCACAAGACGGACAACGAAATATTCAAGATCTCTGGCTTCGCGAGAGCGATTTACGCAAGTCTCGTGCCCGGCACGCACCGCGGTCCTATTAATATCCCGCGAGAGAGCGTAAAAGGGCCGCGAAAGACCCGGGGAAGAGGAGGAAGAGGTAACGAGGGGCGAAGAGGCAGGGGGGAGGGAAAGGAGGAGGAGGAGGAGGCGAGTGCGGGCGCGTGCAACAGATTCGCGCCCGGCGAACGAGCCCGTGGTATTACCGCGGTTCTTTAACAGTACACGTTACTGTACCGTGACCCGCACCACCGTTTTCCATTTGACGTCGCGCACGCACAATGGGGCGGGAGGGAGGGGGAGAGAGGACAACAAACCTTCGACTCTCCTCTTCCGACGCCTCGTCCCGGCTTCTCGCGAGGATGACTTCCGAATGCGCGACGCGAAAATTTCTGCCGACCATCGCAAGGGACACTTGTCTAGTTACTCCGTCTAGTCGCACTGACAGTCTTCGGATTAGCTCGCTGAAACGGGATCTTTCATGGATCAAAACGCGAAATTTCATTAGTCATTCCAGCGCGACGAAAGATATGCCAGGTCACCACTTTTCTTGTGCACGGATTCTAGAAACAATTCTTAATGCGGATTCGTTCTCTAACAGAACTATTCAAACGCGAATAATTTTCGAATTAAGTGATTAAGAAGCATGAAATCGCACAGAGAAAATATCCTCTTGATCGCGAAGACAGATATTTTACCGTTTCTGCGGTCTCGCATCTGGTTTCTAAGATATCTTCTTCAGTTATTCATTAGATATATTAATTAGAAATTACATTATTGATTTTAACATCTCAAGACAAATAATACATAAAATCAAACGGATGATAAATTTTATTTAGCTATACGAATATGAATTTACATAAATTGAATAAGTATCGTTTAAAGTATTTTTGAATTTTTCGGGATAAAATATACAATCTTCAAAATGTTTATATTTTTCTCTTCTTTCTGTCAGCCTGACATATCTGAGATTTTTTTCATTCATACGGTTCTTGACGTCGTCGACAAAAATGAAACAACGTCGAATATATAAGTAGCTCGTATCTTGAAATGCGTGAACCGCAAACGCTAGCGTTGAATAGCGGGATCAAACACCCGGCACTTGGTTCTCGTATAAAGGGAGATATGGAATTGACACAAAAAGCGGCATTTATCTCTCATTTCTCGAATCTCTCTAGCATACTTACTCGCGCCTCGCGCCAAGACAGAGGGCCGAATAAAATAGAATTCCGTTGAATGGAACGCGAATCTCTAGCTTCTGTTCTTTCGTGCACGCATCGTAACATTAATCCCTTCGAATTTGTCTTGCTCGAAAACGAAGATTGACTCACGATAGAATGTGGAGATAATCTAGCGTAATGCAAAGTGTCTTTGAAGCAAACCTATGCTTTGCATCGAGTATCCATCTTCCTAAAATATTGCCCCTCTGAAACAGAAATAAAAAATTGTTAAATTTCTCCATGATCCTTATCTTAATCTCTACATCACAAATATTTTTCAGGAAACATTCACAAAAATTATTACGGATCATTAATAGTGCAAATGATGAGCGAAAAATATTGTGAAAAATGTTTATTGCAATACGATAAGTAAATAAAAATAGTATAACCGTGTCCTTTACTTGCAGTGTTTTCCTATAATGATCAGTCTTTTCACAGATATTTTTTTTATGTATAGATGTGTGTGCAACTTGAAGTCACGCCATCCGGGGTATGTCACACGTCTTTGTCGGTGCCTTCCTCGAACCGAATTAATTAGATAAGAGGAACATAGGATAAAATCTCGCTCGAGTTTGCGGTCGCGATTCGACAGAAAAGGAGGAAGGACATTCCATTTAAGGCGCTCAATTAGCGCTAGGACTACGTTATTCATTGCGCGCTAGCGTCGCCCGTTAACTGTATAATTAGCCAATTACTAATTGCCTGGGTTCACACGGAACCGGGGCCAGTTCGAGGCACCGAGATACATTAATCACTCGGTCGTTTCGTACAAAGTTCCTCTCGCGCTACGAATCGAACCGGGTCATAATGTCAGGGGATCAGGGGACATAAAGACGAAAACGATAAACGCCCTAGGAGTCGATAAATTAGTCCCAATTTCTAATTCTGTACCTTTTGAAAAGATACGGGTTCTTCCTATCAACATTCAGCAGCTAAAATTAGACGATAAACTTTATCTCTCTTTTTTACAATTTTGATTTTAGAAAAGAGTGAACTTTTTGCATTAATTGAAGCATGTAAATTATATATATATATATACATTGAAATTGTATTCTAGTATCATTACAAGTAGTTTTTTCATCAAATAAATTTTTCTTAATATTATATACATATTATTTCTTTTCCTATTCTAAATAATTAAGTAACTTATTTCGAACTAATTAAAACTTTTTATTCTTGTTAAACACATGAATGACATAGATGTTTCTATTCTCAGAACATTTTGATTACAAGATGAAATTTAGAAAATGATTATTCGATGAAAATTTTTCTTTATGCACAATAATAAAAACTATGAATTTTCAAGCAAATCATGTTTAACTCGACACACTTTTTAATTAAAATTCCGATTATTTATCACAGTTTTATTGGTGACTTTTTCTCTATTGTCAAAAAAAAATGCAATACGAAATATTTAAATCCTCCTCTTATAGTAATTATTTTCAAGACTTTAGGAGAGACAAATTTTAATCTTGACAATACAATCAAACTAAGAGAAGACCTGCAAAGTAGAGGAGCTCCCTTTCCATCCTGGCGTAACATCTCGCGTATTTTCTCTCTCGGTGGATCGGAATATTGACGTAATCGAGTAAGACGACAGTTGTCGATCGAGAAAACAGACGCGGCTTGCGTTGGAGTCGATCCGTCGTTCGCCCCGCGACGTCCGGATCTGTCATTTAAATACCGCCCACTGGGAACGGGACAGGAAAAAAAATCGTCTCGGGGATAACCAAACTCTGGAGTGTGCGCGGATCCCGAGACGAGAGAAACGTCACCAAGGGGAGGCGTCTCGGCGCCGCTCCGGTCGCACGCACGCAGGCGGACGCGATGCACGCACGTACCTGCGTACGCGTAATGCGATAATACACACCTAGATGCGTTTGCGGCGAAACGTACCGCCGTGGAGGCCGTGGAAAGAGGCGCACGTATCTGGCCGCGTGATCGGCCGGAACTTAGGCGCGAACGAGGATGCGGACGGACACGCGGGACACGCTGTGACAGCCGTGCGCGGACACGCGCACGAATATTCATGGAAACACTGCGCGGCGCGAATCGCGTACGGGAACACCTTTACGAGAAACGTCACTCATTCAGGTCGAGTCGGACGGCCATTTTACTACGCACGACCCGAGTGAAGAGAGGAGCACCTTGATTCGCGCACGAGACCCTGAAATTGCCCGCGCCAGGGTGTTGATGGATTGATAGCGTCGAGCGCTCCTTCCGCGCATGCACGAGAGAGATTGTCGTTATTGGCTCGCGCTAGTGACGATGACGCTGATAGGACGAACTTCTTAGTTCCCTGACCAATCAGGACGAAGGAGACCAAATTTTCCTTTGCCCTGATTGGTCGATCAAATATTTCTAGAGATATACTCGCGTGATTTTCCCACCAAATTGCGCGTATATGTCATTGTTTCAGGGCGCCTAAATTATCGTTTAAGAAGGAATTTTCGTTAATTAATTAATAAAAATACATATATTTGTGCATGTGTAATGAGTGAATACCTTTTTCTGAAATATACTGATTTAATTTAGGGTAGGCGGTTTGCAAAATAATTTGCTGTACATCTTTGAAAGTTTGACAAGCAAGACATATTTAACCTCTCAATCTAGATGGTTCATGTTTCAGAGTACAATTGTAATTTTCTGCAATTTCCATATGGTGATTGCTCTCGTTGACAGATCAAAGGTCTTCTTATTCTGATCGTAATTTTACATTTGATTTTACTACGACACGATGGCATTGCAATTACAAATTTTATCGAATATTCTACAGGTTTGTTTCAGTCAGTAATTGAAAAATATTTAATCCATATTGTCAAATGGAGACACTTTATCTCTTCACATCATTAGATATCATTTTTCGTTCAATGTACTTTAATAATAATACATTCAGTACTTAAATACTATTTTCAGCGATTAGAATGCATAGAAACTACAGCAACTGGTTATCTTTATGGTATTCTGCATAATAATACATTGGTAGTTCTAACATTTACTTTAAACTCAGATGAAAGTGAGAGTGAAAATATAATTGATTATACAACACTGCAACTCAATCTACCTGCAGACATATATTTTTGTGGTATATTGCACATTGGTGAATGTGAAGAAGTAAATCCAGATATTTTTAAGGTGATTGATGACAAAATATTTATATTTGATATGTTAGTTATATGTATATTAATATTATATAAAATATTCATAAATTATTATATTATTTAGAAATTACCTTATTATTGCAAACAAATATAAATATTATATGAATCAATGAGATAATATATTTTTTTTGTTTAGGATATTGATATTACGGATAACCCCTTATTTTTAAAGTATTCACAGAATACATTGGATATGCAGGCATATTTTTATGTACATCAGAAATTAGAAGCTGTTAATTATTTCAATATTATTAGTGAAGATGATCTTTCTCAACAATTTGTGTACATTAAATCACAGGCAACTTTCCCATTAATTGCTCAAGATGGAAACATATTGGAAGCATTACAAGAATCACGAAAAAATGTAAGATTTTCCTCTTTTTTTAACAATTATGTTAATATCTTATTTCATAGTTTTACACACCTTTATATATTGCATTTATTGCTTTATATAACTTTGTATTGCTAGATTGCATCTGGAAAAATAGGAATACATTTTCCTTTGAATAATGTATATCTCTTTAGAACTGATGAAAGTTTAAAAGACAGACTGTTAAAAGATTTTTTATCCTTATCCAAAGAACATGACAAATCTTCAACTGGATCAAATAATATAAATCACATTATTGGACTTGTGGTATATTTTCAAAAATTTAAATTTATATACGCTTGGAAAAATGATCTTTATATATAATTTAATTATTTTTTTAATTTTCATAGGATATCATACATGCAAACATATTATTAAAAATATCAAGTGAGAAAAATTCTGAAGAATCTATCAAATATGCTCCTGTCTTGCAACATATCAAACGTGAGTATTGCAAAGAAATTTCAAACGATAATCTAAAAAATAGATAAAATAAATCTAAATATTAGGTATTAATATTTTATTTTTAATTTGATACCCTTGTTACAGAATCATTTGATGGTTTAGAATGCAATGTACACATCAATGCATTGTCACTAGTGAGTTTAAATGCAACATCAGCCGAGTTGCATGCAATTGTAGTGGAGTCCATTTGTCGGAACATTAGATTAATTGAAATGCAACAAGGTCTCCAGTCCAAAAATATAAAATTATCTGCAAAGTTACCAGAAGTCATGCATTTTAAACCTCGAAGCTGTGGGCATTTATTTACGATAGTATTTTCTGATGGTTCTACTAACGATAACACAAGTAAGATTTTTCATATTGTAATTACATTTGATTGTTGTTAGTTATATAATAAATTTTCTAATTGTCAAGTTCTATATATCATTTTTGCAGTATTATATAATTAATATTACCGCATATTTTTAATGACATACAGTAACATATGTGTCATCTATTTGCTTTTATACAGACCAGTCATATAATTTCAGTGGAATATCGTAAGGCTTTACACAAGGCTTTAGCATTAGATTTGACTAAACCATCTTTTCGACGTGGGAATGCTATACAATTCAATATTCAAGCAAACGAAATACTTGTAAATCCTCATCAAGCCCTTTTACATAAAGGTATATGTTTAAGCACTCAAAATTAATTATGATTTTGAAATTATTATATAATTATATAATATATTTATTAGGTGTTGCAGGAAAACTCAGTATTGTGGATGGTTTGTATTCGTATCATCATTATATGCAAAATAATTTTGATGATAATGGTTGGGGATGTGCCTATAGATCTCTTCAAACCATCATTTCATGGTTTAGGTAATAAAATATCAAATGAAATAATTATATTTTGCAGTAGCATTTGGTTTGCTACTAAAATATATATACAAGTAAACTACAATCTTTTGTATATTATAGATTACAAGGTTATACTGAAATACCAATACCTTCTCATCGCAAAATACAACAATGTTTAGTCGACATAGGTGATAAACCTTCTGCATTCATTGGCAGTAAACAGTGGATTGGTTCTACTGAAGTAAGTTTCGTGTTGCAGACTTTGCTTAATATAGATATAAAAATACTTTGTGCATCAAGTGGGGAAGAAATGTCGGCCTTAATTCCACAACTTATATGTCATTTTGATACACAGGGTACACCTATCATGATCGGTAATTATTTTCTTCATATTCTACAGCTATAATAAGAACTGAATATATTTAACAAAATATTTACATTTTGTTTTGTATAATTTTTTGATATTGATTTTTGTAGGTGGGGGAGTTTTAGCTCACACAATTCTGGGAGTTAGTTATGATGAATCATCTGGAGAGGGGAAATTTTTAATTCTAGATCCACATTACACAGGTACAGAGCATTTACCTACCATAATAAATAAAGGATGGTGTGGATGGAAAACAAGAGATTTTTGGAGAAAAGATGCATTTTATAATATGTGCCTTCCACAAAGACCTATAATCTTCTGATGTTGGATAAACTGTATATAATTCAATTTTCAAAATTTAATTAAAAGAATATATATATATATATATATATATATATATATATATATATAAAATGAAATTCTCTATTTAATAATAAACTATTTGCACATCTACATATAAAGTAATTTTCATAATGTATCACTGCATTTTTGAAACATTTCATTTATGATATACACAACAATAAAAATAATGGATATGTATTTTAGTTGTGAATAAGTTCGAGAAATAACAAAAACTGATATTGAATTTATCATTATTATGTTACAAACTTATTTATCAAATTCTTAATCAATGATATTTAACATACATTTTTATATGTATATTCCATACTTTAAAAATACATAAAATATACACAAGATGAAGATATCCTACATAATTATTTTGTTATATATTAACAAATGTTAAAAATTACAAATATAAGGAGATAGTTTTATCATTTTTTTATAGTCTTATAATACTATTGCTGTACATATATCTTGTAATTTTAAACAAACAATAGCACATCTTAATAATGTTTTACAAAATTTTATTTTTCTACATTTGCATTTATATATTGTCCAAAACGACTAGTAATGAAGACAGAAACATCTATGAATCTATTGACACAATTGTTTATACAAGTTTCTGTGCGTCCATCCAATTTACTTCCTGGTTTATCCACGCATTTGTCCCAACAAATATCGTTAAATTCGTGAATCTAAATGAAAAATATTTTTATAAACGAAACTTTTATAAACATACAAAACAAAAAAATGTCTATCTATAAATTCTTTTATTTTACAAACAAAATTTTTATATTAAATAGACGAGCAATTATTTTTCAATGCGATCTAATGGTATGATATATTAATGATCTAGAATTTTCTAGATACCGCTTAATTTATATATAAAAAAAATTATGCATAATAATTCACCTGTGCGTTAAGTTGTGCTTTTTGCTTTTCGACCATCAGAAGCCCCGCTATTTCAGGATCAATTCCTTTGGTATCATTGTCATACAAAGAGGAATCAAATGAATCTGCCATATTTCACAATTGCAGCGATTTAAAAAAAACTTATTGCGTATGAAAATACGAATTTTTGTCAATTTTACATGCGGCACTTATCGGTAAATCCTAGAGAAAAGGAATAATGGAAGAACATGTGAATGGCTTCTGTAGCATATCCGCTTTAGTTCCGATCTACAATAGATAATTTAAATCCTAAGCCTTAGGGTGGGTTTTCACTTGACGCTTGACGCTCATTTTTAGCGTCAAAAGACATCGGGTACTTTCCGATCACGCATGATGCGCATGAAGTGACAGAAAATGAATAATATGCGTGACATGAACTATATATTTTCTGTCACTTCATGCGCATCATGCGTGAATCGGAAAGTACCCAAAGTCAAAGCGAAAAAGAAGAAAATATCAAAGCCAGGTTGTTGCGTGGAGAAATGCAACAATCGCAGCCTATATCTATACTATCGGACGCCATTTTTGCTCCATCTTATCTTATTGAGATCCAAATTGCGGTACTTTGTTAATCTAGTGACTTTACCCGCAAGAATGTCAAGGTTCGTTCGAACGCGTGACGTGCGTAAACATAATACACGCATGTATGTGCGTCAACAGCTCTTTTAAGAAAATACTCAGGACTGAAACAGTTTCACCAACTGGTCAATTGACGAGTTTTTTTATATCAGTGATTGGTAGAACTGTCTCATATATGAAATAATTGAATTGAACTTTTTTGAAAAGTTTATTCGTCGTTGTCGCGATACTAACGTCCGGAATAAGTGGAATATATTCGTAAGTTATATACAATTTTATTATTAATAAATAGTTGATTGCTCTCGAAATACGATACTCGATTATACGATAGGAATCAAAATTATAAATTATTACTTTGTTGCAATCTTTACGAGCAATGATTATTCTTCTATTTCTATTTCGTTTCTATCCTAATATATATGTGTACACACACACACACATTTAGAATTCTAATATAATAAATAAATATTCTCTCTGATATCATTTGATCTAAATATAATTTGATTCAGAACGCGCAATAAAACGATCGAATAAAAATCGGATAATTAACATAATGGAAATATATATTTTTAAAGTTATATACAAGTGTATTTATATACAAGTATATCTTTAAAGTCACACACACACACACACCACACACACACACACACACACACACACACACACACACACACACACACACGTACACACGGATTAATTATTTATTAAACGATTAATATACTTCGTGAAGTTATTTCCATTTTTATTTGCAATTATGATCTTTAATAAAGATTTCTCATCATAATAAAAAAATTTTATATCGTTTATCAAAAGTTTAAATTAGATTTAAAAGTATATTATTGCCTCTTTTCGAATAATGATTGATTATTTCACTGTACCTATTTCGTGAATAGCTATCATTACAGAGATCGCGTAGAGTTTGACAATGCAATAAAATTAATAATAAAATTCCAATAAAATTAAATACAAATTAATTATAATAATTAAATATAAATTTGTTTATAATTAACTTTTTCTACGTTGAAAAAAGTTCTTCGTTTCTTTTGGAATATCTTAAAGATTCTTTTAATTAAATTTTACAAAATATATAACTAAATTAAATTTATAGTATTTAATATTTAGAAATAAATAGATAATATTTCATTTTTATATAGATTAAGTATACGATATTATTTATTAAAAGAACTAATATATCTTTTATGGATCTTTTTGTTAAGTTAATTATTTAGATCTACGATTCGATTGTTTTACTGCATTTCAATCCGAATTATATATTTAAATGATCGAAAAATAAAACGATAATAAAATAATAAGCAATATATCTATTTTAAAAATAGTATATATAAATAATAAATAATTTTTATAAATTACTCACCGCATGTCTCTGCTTCAGGCTCTCTCCCTGCTTTCTGACTGTCCGATACTTTTCCAGATGTCCTTCTCTTGTTTTGTTTCATCCTTTGTTGTTTCCTCGTAGCACTCACGTATTCACTCGCGAACAAACAATTATATTTCAGTCATATACAGAAACGATTGCGAGACACTTTGCACGGCACTCCCGATCGCAAAATAATCATACGAGATACGTATTTTTATTATATTATTATTATTTTATTATTATTGCAAGAGAGGAACACAAAAATTACAATAATTCGCTCGATTTTTAAACGAAGCCAAAATCATGCATCACTCGATTCTTACACTAATTAACTATTTCTATTTGTTGATGTATAATATATGCATAATAACGCGAATCATAAGATTAAAATATTAAAGTAATGTAAATTGATACAGCAATCGTTTAATTAATATGATATATATGCATACAGTTTAGGGAAGTTTAAAACATCGGGTGAAATCGAATTTCATTCTATGCAATGTTAAAGAAATAATTATTATTCGTAAAGTTCGATAATATTGCAAGAAAATTTGTAATTTTTGTTCCTTTCACTTCAATTTTTATTTGCAATAATGAAAGATCGCGTTTCGATGAATTTATCGTCGCTACAATTTCATGTCATTTATTAAGGGTTAATTATTTGTCAATTGTAATAGTCGAATTATTATATTTCGATCTAATCGCGATCGTACTTTTAGGAAAAGAATTCGATAATACGGAGCGTTCCGTATCACTATTTTCCCGCTGGAATGTCGCCGTGCGAATGAGGGGAGGTCGTCGCGTATATAAACAATAGCGCGCTACGTCACAAGGTCGAATGACGTGTTAGCTCGCTACGTCACAAGGTCGAATGACGTGTTAGCTCGCTGCCGAAATATTTAACGCGTACTGTGACGTATGTGAGAATTGTATTTATATACAAGTATATTTTTAAAGTTACACACACACACACACACACACACACACACACACACACACACACACACACACACACACACACACACACACTGAGAAAAAAGTTGTTAACTCGACTAAACCGTTTAACTAAATTATTATTTTTTTAATTGAAATATTGAAATATTTAAGTTAAATAAATGTCATGTTAGATTTATAATAGTTAAATATTCCAATTAAAAAGACAATAATTTAGTTAAATGGTTTAGTTAAGTTAACAACTTTTTTTCTCAGTGTATACAGATTAATTATTTATTAAACCTCACGAGATGTATTAATCGTTTAATAATATAAATGTATTTATATCCAAGTATATTTTTAAAGTCTCACACACACACGTACATTGAGAAAAAAACGTTTTTGTTAACTCAACTAAACCGTTTCACTAAATTATTATTTTTTAAATTAAAATATTGAAATATTTAAGTTAAATAAATGTCATGTTAGATTTATAATAGTTAAATATTCCAGTTAAAAAGGTAATAATTTAATTAAATGGTTTAGTTAAGTTAACAACTTTTTTTCTTTTACAATTAGTCTTTTCTCTGTCTATTTGATTGTTTTATTACGCTTTTAGAAAGTCAAGTTCTATAATGTAACTTTTAATGTTGTATTTCATATGAAATTATTATTTTAAACATAATAATTTTCTTTCTTTGCATTTCTATCATGAATAGACATTTCCAACCTTTACTAAAAAAACTAAAAATATCCCTCAATTTTTTCTCTCTTTGGACAATTTATTTACATTTATATATAATTCTCTTTATTCCTTTAAAAGTGAACATCGAGAACAAGGCACACGAGTATTGTAAATGTCAAAAAATGATCGCGCGAATATTATAGTTGTGAATATATAAAAATAAATGCAATATACTATGAATTTTCTACGTTATATATTGAATCGAAATTGCACAAAAGAGGAAAAGAAGAACAAGCCTATGAATAGGCATTTCCATTTTTTATTAAAAAATTAAAAATATCTCTCAATTTTTTCTCTCTTCGGATAATTTATTTACATTTATATATAATTCTCTTTATTCCTTTAAAAGTGAACATCGAGAACAACTCTCTTTCTTCAGGCAAGTCTATATATATGACCAATATGATTAATTGATTCCATCTTTATATATTTATTATTATGTGCTATTAATTAAAGCCGTAGACAATATTTCAGAAATCAAAGTTGTGCGAACGTTGCGCGCAGGAATGGCCATGTGCAGAAACGAATGCGCAGTGGTTCGGCCGCCATGTTGGCGCGTGACTGCTACGTCACTGCTACGTCAAACGCGTCATACGGCCGCCATGTTGGCGCGTGAATGGGAGTCATACGCAGTTACACGGATCGTCGTACGTCCGTATTTTTCGCATCTTTTAACCGTTTTTAAACGAATATCGCGAGTAAACGAGCATCGAGAGTGTCGAAGGATGATCGCGCGACTTTTATAGTGTGTCGATGGAAACGCGCGACAGCGATTTTTGACGATATTCAGTGATGGCGTCATTGCGAAGATGGAGCGAAGTTGCGTCGCGTTATTCGCGCCCTTGATGATGATTATCGGATGCGAGCGAATATCGGGAGTGCCGCATAAAGTGTCGCGCGTTCGCGTTGATGATATCGTGTGAATTTGTGTGCATCAAGATCGGAATAGGACGTCCCGAGGCAAGCGAACTGTCCCGAGCGGCCTGTGGAACAGCCGGTGAGTAGATTTGATTTATCATATTTGCGTGATAATTTGTGCTCATTCGACGCTTATACAGCATCGCGATGTCCCGAATTACATTCGGACAAATCGGCATCATAATTCGATTCGGTGCAATTCAAATAAAGTCGATCGCGTGAAGACGGTTATGCTAGAAGCGATTTCAAATTTATTTTGTACGCGCGCGCAGTGCTGCACAGCCTATCTCGTAGGGCTGCCAACTGTTAAACGATAAATTTGTTTGATCTAACCTAACCTAACCTAACTTAACCTCTCAGTGTCTTTGGATATCGAATGTAAACACAAGCGTATGCTCCCAGGATTTTATCATGCTTTCAAAAATAATATTTAATTATTTCATTAGTGTATTATATTTTATTACGTAGTATATTAATCGTATTAAATGTGCGACGTACAGTTTTACACATTTTAATGAGGAGCATATAATATAATTGGTTAGATTAGATTAAATTAAAACAAGCTGCTGTGATTCATTTAACGTAATAGGATTAATTTGACGAATGTGCAGCTATTGAAGTTACATGATATTTGTGGACACATTTTTAAAGTAATCATGAGTGTC